GTACTTTTACTTGAGTATGGCTTCCAGGTACTTTATTCACCGATGTTTATTTGGCAAATTCTTTTATCCAACACGCTATTCAGGCTGTACATGCTTTCTGGAAATCAGCTGTCGAACCCACATTCTTAACACTGAGTTACTGCTAATACAGGGCTTCGGTTATATACTGTTGCCGTGGAGACAAGAACAGGCAATAGCATGAAATTTTGTAAAAGGTTCACTTTAGGAAGCTTTAGTGGTGCCAAACCCTCACCGGCTCTTCTGTGAAACAAACAACATCTAATCCAATGAAATATGTCACTTTGACCAAAAAGAAAATAATAACTAAAACACTGGTCTAATTAGAAAAGTCCATTGCTGGATGAAGTCAATTATTTCTTACTGTCAGCAACAAACCAAGAGAATTAAGCCAAGTGTTTAGTTGAATTGTGATGAACGCTTTGAAGTAAATGGCATTATGAATGAATGATTTTGTGTTTATCAATCACTGTGTGCAGAATTAACAGGAACAATCAGTTAAATTAATGCTTGGTAGATTTAATGATAACAAAAAAAAAAGTACCATGGTATTACCATGATGTTTTGGATGTTACCATGATAATGCCTTTGGCATATACTTAATTAAAGTTCTTCATTATCATCTGATCATCTACTATATCTCCTATATAACTGTACCATAGTACCACCACAGTACTTTTTTGTCAGATAAAAAAATCTCACAAAATGTAATCGTGTTATGGCTTTTCCAGCGCTCACATCTCAATCTTTCTCTCCCTCAGTTCAAACAGCAAAATTAATTTTAACTATAACAAAAATACCAAAAGTACCGTAATCAGGGCCGTATTAACCATTGGGCTAGGCGGGGTTGAAGCCCCAGGCCCGAGCAAGGAGGGGGCCCGTGATTGGCTGTGGAGTAGATTGACTGGAGCGGCGATCGCCAAAAGCCACTATGCCCCCCACTTATTAGCGCTGTTATTTAGTTGAGTTTTTCCGTAAATTCCATGCATTATTTGAAATTGAAACATAGTCTGAATTTGGTTTAGGCCTACCAATAAAATGCATTTATTCTATATTTGACTTTTGAACGATATGTGCACGTGTCTATCAGGTGATCGCTGCCCAGTATGTCTGCATTCACCTCCACTCTTCACTTCGTTCTGGAGTAATCTGGAAATGGTCGCGCAAAGAACAATATTCGATAATTGAAACGTAAAGTCTGAATTTGGTTTACCAATCAAATGCATTTATTCTATATTTGACTTTTGAACGATATGCGCACGTATCTATCAGGTGATTGCTGCCCAGTATGTCTGCATTCACCTCCACTCTTCACTTCGTTCTGGAGTAATCTGGAAATGGTCGCGCAAAGAACAATATTCGATAAGTAAAAATGTCAGCAATTCTGAGAGAAAGGGGCTCAAAAAATTAAAAACTTCAAATTCAAACAACAGAAAAAAAACATGAGTTAGTCAGTAAAAAGGTTAATTTACCAAAGCTAATGATGGAGTGGAAGTTGTTGGAACAGCAAGTGAACTGGGCACATTAAAAACACAGTGTCATCGCCCACACAGATTTTTGGTTAGTTTGATTATTAACTGGATGTATATTGTTTTTGTGTTTGAACAAACTCTATTCATTTAAGGGTTGGGAGATAATCCGGTAGAAATATATCAATCATTATGCACGTTATGATGTAGGCTAAGCTTATCATTTAAACACGTTTTAAATTAAGCAGGTTTAAAAACAAATGGTTTAAACTAGGGCTGCACGATTATGACAAAAATCATAATTGTCGATTATTCCCTTGAAATTGTAATTGCGATTATTAATTACGATTATCACAATTTACATTGAATGATGTTTATACCATTGTTTGATGCAACTGCATGCCGTATTTTTATATGAAAATAAACAAGCTGAAAACACTCTAACTGAAAAACCTTTAGTGCTTTTCTATAGTATTAAGCCTCAAATGTCAACTATACATCGGATTTGTTTCTTCTTTAAATTATAAAAAAAGTAAAAATATGAATGTTTATAATGTTATACTAAAACTAAAACTAAAACAATGGAAAAACCCTTAAGATAACATGTAGAAAGAAAGAAACATATCTTAAGCATGCAGAATAACATAAGTGGACTTTGAACGATTAATTGCCGCTTTGAACGATTACGTAATTGTGGCATCCATAATTGTAATTGCGATTAGAAATTCGATTAATTGTGCAGCCCTAGTTTAAACTGTAAATACGTGCATTATGACGATTTCAGCCTGATATGCGTGGCGCGCACCTGCTCGTATAGCAACTGACTAAACTTTCGCTCCTTGTGCTTAAACGTTCAAATATACATAGTTATGTGTCAAAATACCCGTCTTTGCGAGTATCCTCGTAAACACAGTTATTTGTGTCTTAAATGAACGTTAATAATTAAAGATAAAGCATGTGTGTAGTGGTAGGCTATATGAGATCCTGGATTATATGATGAGATCTTAAAAGGATAGTTCACACAAAAATGAAGATACTGTCATCATATACTTACCCTCAAATTGTTCTAAACCTCTATTAATTTATTTTTTCTCCTCAACATAAAAGAAGATATTTTGAAGAATGATCGTAACCAGTTTCTGGTCCCCACTGACTCCAATAGTGTTTTTTTGTTTTTCATATATGGAAGTTGTGAGGGCCCAGCAACTGTTTGGTTACCAGTATTGTTCCAATTATATTCTTTTGCGTTTAACAGCAGAAGGAATCTCACACAGGTTTAGAACAACAACAGAGTTTTAATTTTTGGGTGAGCTATTCCTCTAAAGCAGCCTTATATATCTGCTGTTGCCATTTGTGTCAGTGATGTAAATCAAACATCAGAAAGAAAATCACTTACTGTCCTTGACTGAATCACTTTTGTAAAATAAATAAGAATGAATGTATATTTAATTTATACAGTGAAGACTATTCAGTCTATTTGTAAATTTTCTTTATACAATATAATATTTATTATTCAGTGCTTAAAGTTTTTCCAAGTAGGCCGATTTTTTATGATCTTTGTTCTGTTGTAGCCTAATTTGTGACTGTTTACTTGTCTTTACTTTATTTTTACTTAGGCTAGTATTATTTTTTTGTGATAGTGAAATTGGTAACAATAATTATGAAATTTCAGTGCATGAAGAATTTGATATAAGAATATAGAATATATATCATTATTGTGATGGGGGGCCTGCAGTAAGTCAAAGCCCCGGGGGCCCAGTACGGTCTTAATGCGGCCCTGACCGTAGTATTGCCAGGATGACTGGATACCCAGATAGCACTTACACTCCGCATTTACATCTGGAAGACGTATTTTTTTAGAGTGTTTGCTCATCTGCAATACGTCTATAGGACGTTTCCTATCAGATGTCAAATAGACGTCTATTAGATGTCTTTAAGATGTTTATGATTTAGAATGTATGTAAAACTGACATCTTACATTCATCTGTCAGATGTTTGTACACAGCAGAGGCTTTCCAGATCAAGCAATCTTTAACACACATCTTGCAGACGTACGTGTGCTATCTGGGTATGGTACGGTAAGTTACCAATCAAAACATGTCATTAAAATCTTAGCTACTACACTATTACATTACCACCACAGTACTTTTTGTCCCAAAAAAAAAACGGGGCTTCTCTCACTTTTGGTTTCTAAGTTGTCCTGTTCACACACACACACACACACACAAATAGTTTTGTTTAAAATGTCCCTAAGTGTAATTGCGACCAGTGGCGGCTCGTGGGTTTTAAAATAGAGGAGGCACACTAATTGTATTGGTCTGGGATCCCTGCCGATTATTATTATAATTTGCTTAACCACTTTAAAATGGCTTTTTGGTTGCTTTTAGTCAGAAAACGTAAAGGAAACGACACACATACAGCAAGATAATATAATTTCACTTACCTGACCTATCACTTGAAGCAAACATCCATCCCTATTTAAAAGTCTGTGTTAAAAGAGAGCTGCCTGTTGCGCCATTTAATTAAGCCGACTGCTGTAGCCTATATCCAGCTTAGGCTGTTTTCCCTAAATTTGTATATATACTGTTTGAATGACAGCTTGGTAAATCTGTTGGCGATCAAATATTCAATATCGCTACTCATCATAAGTACTTGGTACATTATCAGCGCAGCAACAGACGTTCAAACTAATATCACGTAAGTTACGTCTCTTTGATGATTGGTACCAACGGAGGCATGAGAGCTCACCTCTCCCCTGGCCTCCCCCTCCCCTTCTCTATCATTAGCGGTTGCAATTACATCAGCAGATTTGGCATATTAGCGATAGAAAAGCAGCGCTTTCACGTTATGGTATTACAACTGTGAAATTACAAACAAAAAATACACATTCTGAGACATGAACTGAAATGAATTGTGAATTTTATTAACATTAAATCGTCCTCCTCCCATTTTCACCTCAAAATTATGGGGAAGCTGTGCCTCCCCCGACGAGCCGCCACTGATTGCGACGTGTCTTTACCTATTTTTCGACGCTCACATTTTTCTCTTCCTCAGTTCAAACAGCGAAATTAATTTTAACTATAACAAAAAATACCAAAAGTACTGTAGTATTACCATGATGACTGGATATGGTACAGTACCAATCAAAATATGTCATTAACATCTTACTACATCACTATATTACCACCACAGTAGTTTTTGTAAAAAAAAAAAGTTTTCTCTCACTTTTTCGTTTCCAAGTTGTCCTGTTCACACCAAAAACATAGATTTTTTAAAAATGTTTGACTAAGTGTAATCGCGACGTGTCTTTATATACCTGTTTTTCGACGCTCGCATCTCAGTCTTTCTCTCCTCAGTTCTGCGCGCGGGAAAGTTCTTCCCGCCTCCAGCGCGCGCGTCTCCCCACCGCTCGGCCCCGCCCCCCTCTGAACTACATCAGCTGACCCGAACTTTTATCACCCCATCAGAAGACACGAATCAAGCTATACCAACTCTTCTGCGCTGTCCATTCAGGGTCCAGTCCACGGTCTGATGCTGCTGTCCTGTCCTCTGCTGGGGGTCTCGAGTAAACAGGCGGATCAGTGAATTCATTTGGGTCCAAGCCTAGCTGCAGGTGAGTTTAGGAGGAACTGAATATTATGAATATTTAAAATATGAAATTATATTTTGCTGAAGTGGTATTCGTTTACTAAATTGAGCTTAGAATTGAAGAGTTCAGATGCAAAAGCCCCTAAATGCCGTCTGAAATTTTCTTCTAAAATTAGCATTTTATCAGGCTCCTATGTTTATTTTCAGTTATTTCACTTTAATGGCAATGGAAAGAACCTATATCCATTGCATTAAGGTGAAATTACTGAACCTACACATATATGAGCTACTAAAAAAAAAAAAAACTAACACTAGCTTTCTAATCTTTTTGTATTCTATTCTATCTGTTTTGTTTGTATTTATTATATAATTTTAAAAACCCTTGGTACGTGTACTGTGTTAAGCTAACTGAGACTTGTTATAGCACTTGTGTATCTTTGCTCTTTTGTTGATTTTGATTGCTTCCATTGTCCTCATTTGTAAGTCGCTTTGGATAAAAGCGTCTGCTAAATGACTAAATGTGAATGTAAATATGAGCCTGATAAAAATACACTCATTTTAGAACAAAATTTCAAACGGCACTTTGAGGCTTTTGCATCTGAACTCTTCAGTTTTTTTTTTATTATTTTATAAATTAATGGGTATAATTAGTATGCAGAACATGTGTTGGGCACAAAATATAGGGACAGTTTGTGTAGTTACACTGAAAAATGGTTTTTATGAGCTTATGATTTAAAATAAATATAGTTAAAGTCATTTAAAAAAAACATTATCTGAATATTGAGGTTCTGGCTTAATTTCCTTCTGTCTCTGCATCTCTGTCTTTCTCACTTTCACATCCCTCAGTTCATGTTGGAGTAAGACTGAATTCTGTCTGAAATCTGAGAAGTGCTGAAGGATGATGCCCTGGAAAGGCGGTGCTCTAGTTTTCCTCCTGCTGGCTGTGGTCGCAACTGCAGGTAAAACTCACTTGAAAATGTCCAAGGGGTCACTCGGTCACAATACAAAAGATTATAAAGCTGTGGTTTCAGTTGTTTCGGTAATGCAGGTGAAAGAGAGAGCAGCCAGACACATTTCTCAAGGCTGCATGTGAAAGCTTGCGTAGATGTGTGGTGCTTTTGTGTGAATGCATTAACAGTGTCCTGCACCGTGTATGAAGGGAGTGCGAGTTTCATTTGCGTCTCTGAGTTGAACGTAAACTGTTACGTTTAATACGCATGAGTAAGTATTAGCATGTGTGTGTTTTGGAGTACTGTGACGTACCATGGTACAGTAATCAGATGTAATATATGATACTGTATAAATACAATATTAATAATTACATATCATGGGACTGTAAGATTTAAAAACTTAGCACAAAAAAAACTAAATTAAAATATAAATATTAGATGAAAACTTAAATCAAATGAAAATTAGACATGTTGTCCTGGCAGCTACTTGAAATAAGTTTAAGCTGAATCACCAAAATTAATAACTTGGGGTTAATAATTAGGGAAAAAAGCTATAAAAAGTTAAATAAATTAAACCTAAATCGTAGTAATATATATATATATATATATATATATATATATACAAGTATATGTATATATATATTTTTTAAGCTGATTTAAAAATGAACAAAAATTAAAAAAGAACATCAAAGTACTACAAATTAAATTAAAATGAAAATTGTAAAATATAAATATATAAGCTATTTCATAAACTAATACAAATGACAAAAGCACATAAAATTGCTAAGATTAAAACTAAGATGTCAGAAACTGAACACATGATATTATAAAAAAATAAAATGATATAAAAATAAAAACTAATTCAAAATATTAATAAAAACTATAATATTGTTTAAAATAATACTGAAATAGCACTGATATTAGGCTATCAATGATAGCAAATTCTTTGGTTTCAATGAAAGAAAATACAGCACTAACACATTGTTCTGAAAGTTTTTGTTCAGTGATGTCATGAACTGCCTTTGTTTTTATTTTGTACTGTTCTGTGAGGTCCACTTATCATGTTATCAAGATTTTTTACATAAAAAAATATCATAATTTAGAAGTAATAAGCTATCTTCTGTACTGTTTTAAACCCCCTTCATCAGAACGCTCTGTTTGAATAGGTGTGGAGGATTGTAGACTCGGAAGTAAATGTCCACTACTATGATTGGTTACAAGTTGTGTATGTTTGACAGCGTACATTCCTCATGGACACTGCTGTGATTTAGGTCAAAAATGCATAAAAAACTCAATAAATATCAAACGATCTGTAAGAAAACACAAAGCACTAGTGAACACATAATGAAAACAGTTACTCACACTTGTGTTGCAATATTATCTTCAATTCAATTCATTTCAAGTTTATTTGTACAGCGCTTTTCACGATACAATCGTTGCAAAGCAACTTTACAGCAAATTAAGTTTCTACAATATTTAGTCGTAGCTTATCAGTGGTGACTGTCAGTTTATGTACATATGGCAGAAATGTACGGAAAAATCAATTAAAGAAGTAATCAAACAGACGATGAACACTATTAACAGCAATTATTATATGATGCAATCAAACTTATAGCAAAATGTGGTAGTTCTGTATGTTGTTTCAGGGTTGGCATCATCTGAGGTCCTCTGAGGGGTTGGCATCATCTCTTCTCAGGTGTTCTGGATCCAGACTGAAGCTTGTGTAAATCCTAGTTACCACGGGATGTCAAACAAATAGAGACATAATTAGCGTAGCTGCTGTTCCAACCAACCAAAATGTATTTGTTTAACCCAAGCTAAAGAATAATAATGTGCATTTGATCAAATATAACTGCAGTACAAGATTATGAGATGCATTATTTGAATGCTTGGCCAAAGAGATGTGTCTTTAATCTAGATTTAAACAGAGAGAGTGTGTCTGAACCCCGAACATTATCAGGAAGGCTATTCCAGAGTTTGGGAGCCAAATTATCTTCATTAAAAATAAAGTTCATTCACTCTTTCCTAACGCTGAGATCAGAAGGAAGGCAACGCAAACACTTGCCTTGTCCAAATACCCACACTTGCGGTCTTGGCCACTTGAGGGTGTGTGCACGCGACAAGAAGTAAGTGCACAATACTGTCCCAAGTCTTAAAAACACCAAAGCGCAGTGCCCTTAATTTGAAGTGCTATTCGAAGCTTAGCGTATCCCTTTATGCATCATGTTCTGGAGATAAATTGTGAGACTTTTTTGCCAAGACCTCGCAAGAGGCCACGGAAACCTTTCCAATGTAAGTTAAATATTAATATTAATTAAATATTACATATAATTTGGTAGTAAAACAGTGTTGCACGTTTTATTTGTGCGAAGATGAGAATATTTGTTTTGTACAACAATTTTTATCACTTAATTAGAAGCATCACAAATTAAATTGTGTAATCTGTTATAGGCAGGGATTAAATTGGGCCGGGGCTGTCCGGGGCTGAGCCCCGGCACATAGGCTTACCCTGGTAACTGAATGAGAGTCCAAACAGCTGATTAAAAATAAATAAATATATATAAAAAAATATATTTTTAACTTTGCTCCTGGCCAAACTACTAGTCCATAATCCATAATAATGCTTCCTCCAGTGAAAAAGCCCATCCCCTGTTGTCCTCTCACATCAAATCAAAATCCACCCACATCTTGCAGATTTCTCTCCTGATTCAGATGAGATGACTTTTTCATTGGAGAAAGCAATATTATGGATAGTAGTTTAGCTGGAAGCAACAGTTTAAAGTAAAAAAAATGTCTTGATGGATTGGTTTCTTGCAAACACGCAGCTTTTGGCTTCACAAGACATTAATTGTTGGACTGGAGTGGTGTGGATTATTGTGATATTTTTATCAATAGGCTTACCCTGGTAACTCATCAGAGGACTTTCCTTGTACATTTTCAACATTATAGGCTATAGTTTTAAACACTTTACTCATTCTTACTAATTCAAGCAATGATATGACGCAGGTGTGTTTATATGTATCTCTGAAAAGAACCGAGTGTTTTCAAAAAGTTTTGATTGCATTTAAAATTTATCTGATAAAGGAGCATTCATGAGCGCAGCGCTGCTTTGTGTACAGCCGTTTCTGGGGAAACCGCTATATGTTTGACGTTCCAAAAGCGCCTCCTACTGGCAGAGAATCAAATTGGATTTTCAATTTGTTCTGCTGTTCCCCCATCCACCCATATAACCCTGTTTTAAATTAATATAATAATTTATACTTCTGACTCGTCTCTTTTCTTAAAAAATGGTTTAAAGACTGAAATGTGAGGTTTATTATTTTAGATATTTTTTGTTTTTGTGAAAACCTGTATCTCAACTGTAATTAAATCATGTTTTTTTATAGTACAATGACCTCTTATATGTCAAAAGATCAAGGGAATCCTGGTTTCTCAGTTTATGACCCCTTTAAGTCATCTCTGTGTGTGTCAGTGTCCAGCAGAGAGCTGCAGTGCTCCATGTGGCCTGTGGGGGTGCTGCATCCAGTGCAGGCTCAACTGGAGCGCTTTGAGGCGGGACCAGGTTGTGCAGCCAGAGAGGGTGGAGCTAAAGAGACCCATGTGATTTCTGTGGGCAAAGCCTCCAACAAACAAGTATGAGACATTCGTCCGCTGGTATTTTTCCAGTTGGTGTCCAAACGTCACATTTGGTTGTCCTGTCCGCAGATAACGGTAGTGTTAAGACCTTTGACCGTCTCTCTGCCCGTCAACCGGCCGGTGATTCTGGTGCTGAGCTCCCGGCATGCCGTGCATTGGGTGTTGGAAAATGAAGGACTGTCGCACAACATCAACGTGCTGGTGCAGGTGGGTGATATTGCTTATCGTCCGACACTGACTCACTGATCTGACTGTTTAATTTATTTTTTCAAAGTTCACCCAAAAATAAAAAACTTGCTATAAAAATTTACTCCCGCTCAGGCATTTCAAGATGTAGATGAGTTTGTTTGTTTATGGGAACAGATTTAGAGAAATGTAGCATAATTTAGCAATATATCACTTTCTCAGCAGTGGATCCTCTGCAGTGAATGGGTGCCATCAGAATGAGAGTCCAAACAGCTGATTAAAAATAAATAAATATATATAAAAAAATATATTTTTAACTTTGCTCCTGGCCAAACTACTAGTCCATAATCCATAATAATGCTTCCTCCAGTGAAAAAGCCCATCCCCTGTTGTCCTCTCACATCAAATCAAAATCCACCCACATCTTGCAGATTTCTCTCCTGATTCAGATGAGATGACTTTTTCATTGGAGAAAGCAATATTATGGATAGTAGTTTAGCTGGAAGCAACAGTTTAAAGTAAAAAAAATGTCTTGATGGATTGGTTTCTTGCAAACACGCAGCTTTTGGCTTCACAAGACATTAATTGTTGGACTGGAGTGGTGTGGATTATTGTGATATTTTTATCAACTGTTTGAACTCTCATTCTGATGGCACCCATTCACTGCAGAGGATTCATGTGATTTATGATAAATTACTCCAAATCTGTTCCCATTAAGAAACAAACTCTTCTGCTTCTTGGATGGCCTTTTTTGTTTATTAATGTGAAGCTGTTTTGAAACGATTTATATTGTATAAAGAACTATAGAAACAAATTTTGACTTAATTTTGTCGCTTTGTATTGCATTTTGCTTTTCATATCGACAGAAAACTTATTTGAAACTGGATTTTTTTTGTCTGGTTAGAAAGTATTGCAGTTCACCAGGCAATAAAACATAAACAGTATGTAATTTTGTGTATTTTTGTGACTTTGGGGGCCCCTACAGTTAAATAAATGTAATTCACTGTGGTAAACATATAGACTTAACTGGTGAGTAGGAGTTTATAGCTCTACACATGCATTTGTTGCTGCCAAAAGCAATTCACCCTTTTCGCGGACATTCGTACCCGCTCAACAAACTTATAACTGCCATAACAGACATTTGGGCGGGAACACGGGAAAGAAAGATGCCATTTGGTTTATTATGTTGAAACTGGTATTTTACCTTTTAAAAAATAAACTTCCGTACAGTTGCCTTAATTAGAGAAACATTTAATCTAGGCCTTCACCTGCTCTCCCAGGTGTCTCTCAACTCCACGGCCGTCTCTTCGAGCTTGTCCATCCGCGTGACGCAGGTTCCGTCTCTGCCATGGCGGCCACGAGTCCTGCTGCGCTGGATCCTAAAGCGTCATGCCACTGTCTCGTCACTCACGAACACTGTACGCGCCAACCGTGTTTACCTCCGTCTGGGAGAGGGTAAAAGCACATACACGTCCTTTCATTCAAATTGTTTGAAAATTGGGGTTTGCTTTATTTTGTCTTCATTTCCATTCCGTCTGGACTCCAGATGCCAGCATGCCGAGTGAGTGCCGCCTGCGGTCTCCGTTTCTGTCCCAAAACTATCTGGCCTCAGAGCTGCAGGAGCAGGAGATTCACGGCTGCGTCCCGTCAGACCAGCCCTCGGAGATGGAGGTCCACATCATCCGCCTGTGGTCCTCAGGATCCGACCTGTGCGGGTGAGTCAAGCTCTCGAGTCTGAGTGGAGAAGCGGACACTGAGTGCATCAGGTTTATAAAGACGGACAAATAGAGATTCAAGAGTGAATTTAAAAAAGCTTTTTAAATTTCAGTTGTTACAGCCTATATTACAAAGAAAACGTCTCAGGTTACCCATGTAACCATGGTTCCCTGAGAAGGGGAACGAGACACTGCGTCCCCTAGAGGACACTTTGGGGAACGCCCTCAGCGTGACCGGTGTCTGAAGTGCATGTGGAAACACGACAATGAACTTGTCATTGGCCTATGACGTGCTACTGGTGCGACCAAGAGTATAAAAGGGCACCTGTAGCACACGACATCAGCTTCTTGTCTGAAGGAGACGTGCACAGGAATGCCTGAAGCATGGCAAGGGGACGCAGTGTCTTGTTACCCTTCTCAGGGAACCATGGATACATGGGTAACCTGAGACGTTCCCTATCGAATGGGAACTCGCACTGCGTCCCCTAGAGGACACTTTGGGGAATGAATACCCACGCCGCCATGCTGAGGGAATGAGTGCCTTATCGGCAGGCATAAGCCAGGAACTCTTAAGTCCTTATCCCCAGAAACACACCAGCAACTGCCAACACACTGTAAGGGTCAGAGTTGATGTGGGCCAGTCACAGTCACCCATCAACGTACAGTTTTACGTTTCACAACCCTAAGTGCAAAAAGAGGCCTTATTGCACAACAGTGCTAGGAATAAGCTTCCCAGACGTTAGTATCTTGAGGGTCACAGCAGGAGTGGGACGCGAGTCGCGGAATAGCCCACCATCTCCGCATACCTCTCATCTGTGAGCGCAAAACAGAGGGAACCCCC